ATTTGACACTCCAACAGTGAGTAGTGTATTTTTATGAAGTGAAAACATACTTTGAAGATTTTTGTATGAACACAATTCTGATGAATGTGGTGGCAAATTTATCTGGCCAGTGAACTTTCTTCCACAGACTTCTGTGCTTCATACATTGCTCCAAAGATGACTTCTCATGACTTTCGTTCAAAATTAATTTTCTTCTTGACATATGACAACCCTGACAAACTTGTCATGGTTGGTTCGCATTTACTCCAATCTCTTAATTTATTTAGATGATGGATATAACAATTGTCCAACATCTATGACCCTCAAAGCTGTATTTATTCATACTTCATACAGTAATTAAGTCCACTCACACAGTTCTTGCTCAGATCCCCGTTATTATTTTTTGTACCACATGCCTGTTTCCCTTGTGCTGTATTATTTTGGACTCATCCTTTTTTGAAAATTTTTGGTTTGTCTTATTTTTTAAGTAAACTATTGACTTTCACCTGTTTACCCCTTCACTGTACTTGGATCCTTTATCATTTTATGACAGTGAAGTATGGTTTCTTTAAAAAGTTGAGGAGTCTAGCAAAGATTAATCCTTCCATCCATCTTCTGCTTATCCGGGGTCAGGTTGTGGGTGAAGCATCCCAAGCAGGGAGGCCCAGACTTCCCCAGGCATTCCCAGGCCAGATGAGAAAAATACTCTCACTTATTTCCTTACAGCTGGCTCAAAATGCTCCCATCCAGTTTTTAACACAGGAGCAAGATCCTGTTGCTCCCCTGCAATGCAGTTCTAGCATCACTTCATTGGCTTTCATTTTATTTTATGGTTAAATTTAAGACTTCGTAATTTGTTTGTCAGTTTCCTGGCAACTTGACTCGCTCTTATCGCTTAGCTGAACTTTAGCATTCATATGTGTCAACTCCTGATATCAAGGCAGCACATCAGATGCTTTATAGTACCCAAGGTTTGTTATAAATCCAAAGGTGGAAGAGCTATTGCCATCGTTGCTCAGGTCAGATAATATGGAGAGGTTTGCCTCTACAAATCAGGCATCTATCTGGTCTTTGAGACAGCATCAGACCTGAAGGAACGAAAATCTTTAACAACTGCTAAAATTGAACTTTTTCGCTTCTACTGTTATAAAATCAAAGGAATAGACACCAGAAGTAAAATATTATGTTCCCATTTTACTTTTATGTTGGTACTGTAATGAAAGAAAAATAATTTTCAGATTTCTATTACCAAGGAAAATAAAAACCTTTCACGCCACTTCATAATTATGCTAATGTTGGTGGTCTATAATTGTTAGTCTTCTGTGCAGTGACAGCCTGTTGTGAACTTATTGCTAACATCCATAATGAAACACTTTGAAAATTTTAAATGACAACAACTGCATCACAATAAAAAAAATAAAAAAATGTCTGTACTATTTTATTTTTTATAGAAGATGCAACATTTTGTTGCAGTGACTCACAGTAGTAGATGTAGGAGTTGAAAGTTAGGGAGCAGTTCTGTATGTCGAAAGGAAAGGCATAGATGTCAAGATTACAGGAGCTCACAACTCTGAGTGGAAGAGCGTCGTGCACCCTTCCATCGCTGTACAGGTATATGTATGGAACAGACGGTGCTTTGTTTTCCTCCATGCTAAAAGAGCAAAGCATACAAATATGAATTATAATTACAATTATAATTAATTTGTAAAAATCAATAATTCTGACTGATTTAAGCTGTTTTGTGTGCAAATATTGCTCAAAACAGCTCATATTTCATTAAAAAGATAAATATTTCAGTATATTATTGTGTTTTCCCAATATTACAGAGTGAGTAAACACATGCAGTCATACAAATAAATTTGGAAAATCATCCACATATTCAAAGAGGTGTCTTACAAGTGTATCACTTATTAGGAATCAACTCACAACTCATTGATGACAATATCTGGAAGCCAGATATTCTCTTTGGGAACTGAAATGTTGCTCATGCCACACTGAACTGGGTCCCACCTGGTAAACTCATTCGTCCACCACTGCAAGAAGAAGAAAAGAGTGGTGATAGTAGTACGCAGAGTGGCTCAAGCAATCTCTGACACAAATAAAATGAGTAAAGAAATCAAATCTACTGCTGTAAAAATCAAGCTGGTTGGTTATGATATTGATATTGTTCTGCTTACGAAGTGCATCCAGAGGTAGGTGATGAGGACTTGAGACTTCTCATCCTGAAAGACAAAATATTAAATTGTTGAAATAGGACTTTTTCTTATTGTGCATCTGTGAAAATAGACATCAAAATTAAATCACACTAAAATTAAACTATACATTGATGAGTAAATATGTTATTTTGCATGATGCAATCATTATAAAATTACTTTGGTTTTAACTTGCAGCCTGACATTTTTAAAAAAAATCAAATGAATCCCTCAGTTTATATTTTATATTAGAAATGATATGTAATAATAATGTGACACTGAACATACCACTCCTAATATCCCGTACAGAGTGAAGTACATGGTGATGGTTGTGTGTGTGGTTTGGTTCATTACGGGCCGGATAGCCCTCAGGTCAAAGACAGGCCTGAGCGCAGCCAGCAGGCTCGGTTGGTCTGGTTTGGAGCAGTTAACCTTAAAGGAGCTGCACAAAGCTGATGAGGACAATTTACAGGCAAGTGAGGCCACATCTGTGTTATAGTCATTACAACTGTACAAAAACAGAACATTCAAACATGCATATCTTCAATTTTCCAAATTGTGAATACATCTGAAATTACCCCTACTAATTATGGATTGTCTCAAAAAAAAAAAAAAAAAAAACTTTGACACTTGTCATTAAAAGACTCACCTGGCACAATAAGAATGAGAAAAACCAGAGTGGCTGATGGGAAAACCCACTAAAGAAAGAGAAAAGAATTGAATAGAGATTTGAAGCAGCATTCAGCTTCTATGCACCACAAAACCGGAACAACCTTCTAGAAAACAGGAAAACACTGAGTTCCTTTATATCTCGGAACTCAGCTGTTTGGAGTTGAAACCTAATCATGAAACGTCAATCAATAATCTGATGTGCAAAATGTAATGTTGTTCACTATGTGCTCTATGGAATTTAGTGTTTTTATGATTTAAAGCACTTTGAAACGCCTTGTTGCAGAAAGGTGCTATACAAATAAAACTTGATTGATTGATTAATATTTACTATCTGAGAGTAAATCAAAGTTAAAAAGTTATTTTGTGACAGATTGTAATATCCAGATTTTACAGGAGGAGAATATGCGTTACCTTAAGTGCAATTTCCTTTGACGCCATGATGCTGAGAGTAAAAGCTGAATTTTAGTAGCTGTCAGGTGGATGAAGCTTCTTCTCCTCTTCCCTGTCTTGGAATAGGAAAACAAATTGAAACTTCATGTAAAACCAGGATAGGGGATGGTCATCTATACAAATAATGTTGGAGAGACCAAACTCAAGGACGAGCAGCTCATTTCCTCAAAGTTTTTTTCATACAAGGCAAACAAAAACCACAGTTAGCATGATGCCCCTTGGTTTTCAACTCGCATGACACTAAGACTGACCACAGCGCTGTCAGACACCAGTGCTGCTGGTTATAGGCAAATAAACAGTAGACAGAATGTGCCAAGTGTCTGGTTTCTGGCCAAACATGCAACCTTTCTGCAGCATTTCATTAATTTAACAAACATCTTGCATATTATGTCATATGTTAATCATCTATCCATACTAAGATGTGATTGATTAATTTTGTTTTTTAATAAAGATTCTAAATAGATGCCTTAAAGTGGTGCTTTCCATTGTAAGGGTCAGGACCTCTCTGGGTTACAAGGCAAAGCTTACAGCTCCCGTTCAGCTTAACTGAGAACCTTCTACTTGAAAGATCTGTATTTTTCCAATTCGTCAACTGTTGTCTAATGCACTTTCTTTCTGATATATCAGTTTTTCTAATGCAAAAACCTTCAAAAAAGAGATACTGCAGAGACAAACAAGCTAAAACAGCAAGTGGTATCAAGATATCTTAGGTTTCAATTGCAACCTGCAAACTATGCAGAAAGAAGAAGATGCTGCTTTGGTACTATTAATGTCGTCTATACCACCGGAAAACAAGTAGACTCAATTTCTTATTTTTGCTTCAAATTCTAATGGCCAGCATCAACACATATCAAAATAAATGTGAATGCAAACTGAAACATTTCAGCTCAGCATGGAGTGCATCAGATAAAAGTTAATTCTGCAAAATATTTTGCATTTACAAGATGCTAAATGAGATGGCTCTACTTCCTTTTTTCCAGGTGCCACCATAAAAGCATGAAATAATTACAGACCAATAGATTTAACAAACAAATTAGGTGAGGGTCTTGCTGGGTTTATTGGATTACCCATGTGTAGGAGGCTGTCATCGCTGAAATGTCCTTTTTGAATTTATTCTCAAGACGATCCTTTCTTTGAGGATGTGTGCAGGAATAAAAACTGTAGTGTTTATTAATTCAAACTGAAGAAACTCACAAAGACAAAAAGGCAACTGAAAAATCTTATGGACAGGCACCACAGGTAGGCGCTGCAAATTGCCATAAACATCTATAAGGACTTTAGGATGAGGATTAGAGATGTCTTTCCCCCGGGGCTCGTAAACTAATGGTGGGTGGACGACTGGTGGAGCCGTGAAAACGAGGGTGGAGAAGGCGCAGAGTGGTTACGATGAGGCGTGGTCCGATGCTGATGGGCTGCACCTGAGGTACATGATGCAGAGATTGCATAATGCAGGCGAGGCTGGAAAGAACAACAGATCTTCAAATGCCAAAAATATAGTACATCTTTTAACAGTATTTGGGGCCCGGATAGCTTTGCCTCAAAAAGCTTTCTTTTAAAATGTTTGTGTTTTTAAAAGAAAAGGGTAAAATATATATTTTTCTTAAATACACAATTTATATATAATTAAGATAACAAGGGGCTTGGACTAAAAGCTAATAATTACCTAAAATCCTGCACACATTTTGTTGACAAAAGTAAAAGTGACCGTTTCATTTTTGAAATCAGCGTCTTTTTATTGTCATGTTTCACCACATTAACAATAATCCAGAAAAATGTACCTATTTGTGTACACAATGCATTACATATTTCTGAAATTGTTCATTTTTTTGCAGCAAAATCAAATGTTTAAAAATCAGTTTAAATGTTCATCTTGGCATAATTACTTATTCTTATGTCTATGCTTATTTATTCTTCAGTTTACCACAGTGACAAGTCACTGACACGTGCCTTTACACAAAATGTTTTAATATAACATATATGGTAATATTTAAATATATTAATATATTAAGAAACACAATTCATATGAATTTGTTTTTAATGTTAACATTTTAAATCAATGCTAAAACAGACACTTTCAATTTATAACTGAGGGAAAGCAAAGAAAAGAGAGGGGGGGAGAGAGAGAGAGAGAGAGAGAGAGAGAGAGAGAGAGAGAGAATGTGTTTAGGTCATTGTTTTGTACAAATTCCCAGCTTGCATCCCTCACAATGACCAGGCTCATGGGGACTCTTAACATCAAGGTTTCTGTGCATCTTGTTCTGGACTCCAAGATCTTCTTGGTAGCACTTAATTCTTATTTTCACCATCAGGTTCTCCATGAGGACTTCAATGTTGTCGGACTCCACACTTGGTTTCACCATCTGTGCATTGGGACATCTCTTGCAGTTTTGGCGCAAAGGCCTCACCTTGACGGTGCCCTGCCCATTCATGAGGCGCATGTGGAAAACCACCATGACCCGGTTTGACGGCCAACTTCTCTTGCATGAGTTACAGCTGAATCTTTAAGAAGAAAAAAGGCACTTCAATAAGAAATCTATACTTCTGGAGACAGATGAGCATGCATGCTGTTCCTCCAGCCAGTTATATATATATATATATATATATATATATATATATATATATATATATATATATATATATATATATATATATATGAACCATTTGTTCTGATTTTGAAAGCAGAAAGCTCTGTCACTTTTAATAGTTGTTGTGCTATGTTACAAGGTTTTTTTTTAATTTTTTTTTATGGTAACTCTATTTTTATCTTCCTCAGTAACCACTATGGAATTTCACTGAACCATCAGGTTCAGTTTATGAGTGAAAATGCTAGAATGATTTTTAGACAGTGAGATTTTATAGCAGAGTAATTTACCTATGCTAACTAATAAGATGTTTTACTTTCTAAAGACAGTAACTCACCATACAAAAACGAGGTAAGAATTGTCTAAGCACTTGAGTATGGATCTAGTGCAAAATACTTTCAACATGCATATAATGTATGAACACTTAGATAGATGAATACTACAAATTTTTGGAAATACCAAATTTAGCAGAATAAATTAATCAACAGTTAAATTCTGACCTTGCACTTGTTTTCCTCAAGTACGTCTTCCAGCCCATGTTTGGATTATTAGGAACAATACTTTCATCAAACTCCAAATGCCAAGTGTGTTCTTTTCGGTTAAGTGTTTCAATTTCAGCCTGAAAGATGCGGATCCATTCCTGTTGTTCCATCTTTATCTTTTAAAAGTAGATGTTGGTTGAAGAAGAGTCAGAGCTGGAACAGCTGATCTGCACAGTTGACAGCTTGTGAATGTGACTCTTTACTGCCCAGAGGGAGGGTTGCGGCACTTAGGAAAACGAAACTTAAAAGTAGGCAAACACTGCGTTAAGTTTCAGTTTTTATGCTTTCAGCATAAGAAAATTTATGAAATGTAGATGCAGAAACGAAACTGAAAGGTGATAAAACTGAGAAACACTTCCACCTGCTGGTGAAAGTGATAACTACATGTATTAGAATTCTAACATACAGTTGGAAACCTACATACCACAAAATACTCACAGCTGTAATTTCAGAAAAAAGTGTTTCAAAATTTCACTCAGGTTGAATGAATAAGTATGCCGCACTCTCCAGATTTTTATTTTTGAATGTTTTGGAAAATCTTGTAACCTTTAACTTCCACTTCGCAGACGTGCCTTATGTTGGCATATCCTATACAACCTTAAAAGAGTGGTAAAAGCATGTGTTTGTAAAGTGAAAAAGGTAAAAAAAAAAAATAATAATAAAAGAAAATCTAAGAGCATCATTACTTTTGAAAGTTACAACTGATAATTGATGCTTTTTTATTTACAGTTATGCGATTTTAACCAAAACCGGAGTAGTGTTTACTGATCCCATACAAAATCGGAGGCCAAAAACTTGAGTACGGATTCAACAAAAAAAGCATCCTAAAGCCTGCCAGCTGTATTTTCTTTTTCATTTGCTTTTTCTATGATGCTGTTACGTGCTCTTATTTTGAAACCGGAAATGGGCGTCAATCGTCACTATAGCAACGGATACAATCTTGTAAGTTAGCGTGTGAACAAATTGACCTGTTATTTTTTATATCTGTGACTCCATTTCTCAGTCAAGTATGGTGGAGGAGTCAGATACATACCACATCCGACCTAACCATCGGCTGAAGTGAGTTTGCTGAAGTAGTTTCATGTTTTGTTTTTTCTTTTTGAAATACCAAGCGTTGCTAGCGAGATTTTGGCTAACGACAGCTTTTCGAAGTCGAACCATTGATAAACCATTGTTGTACAAAGCTTACCTTACTATAACCTTGTTCTAATTTAAGATAACACTTATTGCGTCGCAAGTGCTAACATTTCTGTAATTAAATAAAGTTGCATTTAGTTTCATTCTTTTCCTCTGTATGTGTATTTACTGGAATATATAGATACAGTTATTTGACTAAATTGATTACACACTCTTAAACAAGCAGTTTATCAGACTATAAGTAATAGTTAAACAATTGGGTCATTTTGGAGAAAGTTTTAAATCAATACTGCTAGCTGCCTTTTGATCTGAAAACATTTGAGAAGCTTTTTGTCTTTGCTTGCAATTAGTTCTGTGCATGAAAAATAAAGTTTAGTGTTCACTATGTCACCATGAATGAGAGTTCCACTAAGTTGATGAATTCACAATCTTGTCGAACTCAATATACACAATAAAATTATATTAATGATATTTGGAGCCAATATGCATGGTCCTTTTTGACCTCTGCTGAGATTAAAGTTCATTTTCTTGTGTTTCTATGAATTGTTACGTTTTTAGGTTTAAACCAGCTGTGGTAAAGCGATACATCCATGACATTGTGAGGGAGCGTCTTTCTGACATGCAGTATGATCCAGAGACTGTCGCAGAGTTGACCCGGTCACTGGCAGAGAGCATAAAGGACAAAGTGAAGAGTTAGTTCTGCATTATCCTCCTTTGGCCTTTACCCTGGGCACACTGTGAAAAATGCAATGTTCAGACCAATTTCTTAACCAGTAGTGTTTGTCATATCACTCAAACCACAACATGAGTTGATATTTTCTTAAGCTTTTTTGAGCTTCAGCAAGATGTGACATATGTAAACCAAATATTCCGCTCATGCTTTCAATTTATTTAACTGAGAGAACAGAACAGTAGATGCAGATAAATCAGAATAAATATACTAGCTTTTTTTGTGGCCTAGAACTTACATCAGCAGAAAAACATCTATCTGAAAAAGAAAAAAATAATCATTTAACATTGTAATATTATGTTTGTGCATCTTATCAATGTATACAAGCTCTGACATACTTTAATTTAAATGCTTGTACCTTGTTTTGTGCACAGCTGCAGAATTTGACAGATACAAGATTGTTGTGCAGGTGCTCATTGGAGAACAACGAGGACAAGGAGTGAAGTAAGTTATATCCATTACTAATAAACAAAAACAGACTGAGGTGTTTGTTAAAAACCATGCAGTCAATTTAAAAAGCCCTTAATTCTTAAAAGGAAAACATTAGGAAGGAATGGAATAAAGCACAACGCTAAACAAACAATGTGTTACTGTGCCTGTCATCAACTTTGACTCTGTATCATAACAGAGCAAGGGAGTGAGAATGGTAAAAGACATTTATTGTATCTTTTCTATATCTTTGCCGCTTCATTTAAGAGGAAATTATTTTCAGAATACATGCATAATATTTGTCACATTTGAAATTGAAATATTGCCTTATATAGCAAAGTGATGGGAAGGCCATCACTTTGCCTTCTAGAAAGAGCACTAATGGAAGAAAATGATAGAATATATGTATGTAGCATAGACTCTTTAACTGGAGCAAAAGAAAACGGACCACTAGCTAAGCAGTGTCTGACACATTGTCAAATATTTGCTTATATTCTGCACATTTTTCTGATTTTGAGTATTTAACTTAAACTTGGTGCCACCAAAGTGACACAAACACTTTAATACCACTGAAAAGTTTTCAAATGAAAATATATTCTAATTGTATTTTTAAAATAATTGTGATCCAGGGAAATGTTAAAAAATGCTTGTCACATTATTTCCGCTCCTTTCTCTGGGTGGTTTTTCACTTTTTATTATATTACAAGTAGGGAATCTAATCGATTTACTTACACATCACATAACTCTGAGGCGACAAAAAAATGGTTATGTGATTTTCTTTTTTTATGCAAAGAAGCATCTGAAAAATAGCCCAAGATTTGACAAGCCAACAAATGCATGGCTAATTACCTAATGTGCCTGCCAGGCAAGAAGATCATTAATGCAGGAAGAGAAGCAGAGACCCACAGCTCAGGCTGAAGAATCTGTGAACAGGAGGACTAACAGTTGTGGACTTCACAAATCTGTGACAGGGAGACAATAAGAAATGTATTTTAAAAGAAAGTACTCAGAAAGTCCAATTCACAGTTTGGTATTAGTCATGTAGGTGATAGACTGAACATGTGGAGGAAGGTTCCCTGCAGATGACAACAAAATAAAATGTTTTGACCTACACTTTTCAGAATGTTATTTGTTTAAAAAAGTTTCAAATCACAAATCACTTTTCTTCCACTCCTCAATGATGCCTTTTCTCAATAAAACTGATGAAATCTTGCGGCTGTCATGTAAAGGTTCCAGGGTATCTTTGTAAGCAAACGGTACATAAGAAGGGAAGGAAAATCTATAAGTCTCAGTCAGCATCTTACTTTAGCGTCTCGTCAGAATTCGTAACAAGGAGCTCAAGCTTTTCATAGATTATCTGTCTCATATTATACTGCCAGGACAGAATGACAGTTTATATAATTATGTAAAAAACATAAAAGTTACCTACTGCAGCTTTGAATGTACATTCCTGACACATTTTGTTTTTTCAGGATGTCTGCCAGGTGTTTGTGGGACGCAGACACGGACAACTATGCAGACGATGTTTTCATGAATGTAAGCACTCTGTCAGATTTAGTCAATACAATATAGGTTTCTTTGACAATGTTTCTGGGTTTTTTATAAACCATGTGTTTTCATCCCATAGGACAGCTTGTTCTGTGTGGTGACAGTTTTTGGAAGCTATTATTACTGAAGACTTGAAGCATGGATGACAGCAGATCCTTTTATATGAAGAGATATGAAATGAACATTTGTGAGACGCCACACTACCAGCTCGTCAGCTTCTGCTGAGTGGAAATATGTCATTTCTGTCTCTTTCAGACGTATGATTCTCACACATCCTGTATAGGACCTTTGCTGATGTAGTGATAATATAATGAATGCTGTCGGTGTAATTTCCTGACTTGACAAGATAGTTATTGATGACAGAAGCTGTTTGAACAGCTAATTCTGGATTGCACCTAAAGATGTTCCAGTCTGGACTCCCAGGTGTTGAAAAGATGGTGTCAGGTCAGCTGGGCAAAGGAACTTTCCCAAATTCATTTCATTTTAAAGGATAATTCAATAAAATAAAATTATCTTAACCAACTCATGTTATTGTTTGCCCTTTGGAGCTGCTGTATCAGAAAAGGTCAGAATGAAAAGAAATGATCATCAACTTTTATAATTATAGAACAAGTCAACACAACATATCTGGATAGCATCACAACTATTGCCACTTTCTTTATTCTGCATTCTACAAATTCTAGTACTTCCTTGACAGTTATGCTGTAGCTTAGTTTTTTGTGAATATTCAAATGTCTTTATGAACTGTCTATGTCTAAGCAACTTTAAACGTTTAGAGCTGCAGACAGCTTCTATAACGGGTTAAAGAAACTCCTGATATTTCTTTCATTTCTGTCATCAAATTTAAGCTGAAAAAATAAACCAGTGAAGACGTTAATGATGAAAAATGAAACTACATGCTGCTGACAAAACAGACAAGGCAAAACACATGGGACTTTTATTTTTTTTTTATGACAGAAAAGAGGTTTTTGTTCCTACAAAATGACTCACACCTGCTACCTATGACGTCTGAGTTGTCTCTCATTTCCTTCTAAATTAATCCAATGAAATTCAACATCTACATTTTTTTTTAACAATTCCATTTCCTCAACTTCCACATAAACTTGATACTTTACACATAGTTGCTGTCAAATTGAGTGGCTGGTGTAAGTTCAAATGTGGAAATGACAAAATACTCTCCTATTGTAATCATTTGTTAAAATGAAAATAGGCATTTTGTATTACGTTAGTTTTATTCTCATTCCCAGTGAAGCTTTAAATCAATTGTCTTCTGAGTTAATGTTTTAAAAATCCAACTCTGACTAATTTGTCTTCCTGTCTTCTTTGTCTTTATCTCTGCACAATCTGTTATCTCTTGGCTTTGAGCGATTGGTCTGGAAACCATGTTTGTCACTGATACTTTATCTGCTAATGTAAGCACAGAGTCTGGCGACAGCATAATAGCCTAATCGTTTTTCGGTCATGGCCATACCTTTGGCTAAGACCGCTCCATAATGAAGGATATCTGCTGCAGCAAAAACATCGCTATAAGTCAGAGTGGTTTGTGGGTAGGTAGGATTCCCCAAGTTTGCAGAAATGTTCTTCTCCTCTACTGATATTACTTCTATTTTTCAGCAGACTGCACAATGTAAACAGCTCTGGTCTTGGAGAATACTCAGTAATCTGCCTCCGGTCATTTAATATGTTTACATTAAATGCATAATCACCCATTTAAATGTGAGCAAACTACATCAGCACACAGAGATGTTTTTTTAGGTCAGGACCAGATAAAATCAGCAGTTTCAGAATTAGAAACACTAGCAAATAATTTTGTGCAGGTTATGTTTATTCAGGAGATTTTGTTGTCTACTGCTGTGCTTTAGCCCACTGTACAGTTTAGCTGGTGTTATTCAGACTTGGGGCCTTCAGTTTTATTCCAGGATAAATTGCTGTTCAGTCATTCTCAATTTCCTAGTTTCTAAACATTCTTCACTGTTATTCTTTCAACACCTTATGTGTCTTCTGTTGTAATATTTATTTTACAGTATTTACATCTTGCTTTCTGTCTGTTCAAACAATGGTTTTCCTTTTAAGTTTTTACATGTGTAGCAGCTCTTTACAACTGTATTTTATTGATCTTTGAAGGCAGACATTTTCCCTTTGGAAATTTCCAGCCACACTTGTTCAGTTTTCTTCTAACTGTCCTGCCCTCAACCTCATCATTTAAAGCTCTAACTGAGACCTGCAGACTCTGAGGTTACGGACAATATTTTTGCTGTAATATATGGAGTGACCTATAGGTGAACTATATCTTATGTGGTCTCTTGAGAAAATTATGTCCTAAACATTTCTGCTTGTGAATAATCCATCTTATAGTAGAAAGACAGATTTCAAATAGTTTTAAAATTACCTTATAAACCTTTTTAAATAGAGGGGGAGCTGTTTTGGTTTTGTCAGTAATTGCAGCTGGCGCTGTCATTATTTTATCACACACCTGAAGGTTCCAGAGCAGTAAGTGGCCAAATGTTTAGTTTTCATATTGGATCTCCTATGTTACTATGTTTCAGTAGTAAAATCTGAAAGTGAAACTAATACTATTTCAATTAATTATTTCATATCTGCTGCTTGCAGCTCCTGAAAATGCAAAAATTGGTCAGAACAATAAAAGAATAATAATAAAAAGTTATCGCTGCTATTCATGCATCTTTCTCCACATTGCTTTTTCCTTCCACTTAATTTTCCTGTAATGCTGTATGCATTGAACAGCCATCATCTTTTACCGTCAACCTTTTAAGGCTTACCTTCATGGCTGCACTAATTTCAAGTCAGAATATAAAGTTTATGCCATATTCATGTACTAAAAATTGGTCAATCCAGCTAAATTTTATGTTCTCCTTTGCTGAAAGTCATAATTATCACAATGAACAGAAATAACTGCTAGGAACATATCAATCTATCAAAGTGGTAGACATTTTAAATGGAATTAGTGATTAAATTAAATCTGATAAATAATCTCAAGTTATTGAGATGTGCAATTTTAAAGTGAAATATAATTTTATGATACGATTTAAAAATGCAATCATTTTAGCTGCTTGACTCTGAGCTAGGACAACGTTTTCCTGCAGGCCAATAAAAGCAAGGTTCCCTATGGTTTCTTGTCCCTGAATCCATACAGAAGCCTATTCAGTTGCTATGACGGCAGTTATTATGGAAATCAAGTAATGAAAAAGTCTCAGTTCACCTTTTAGGAAGTAATAATTATATTAAATAATGTGAGAAAGCTGATGATAAGCATACTGTTATGTAGTCAATTTAATTTGTTGCTAGCTCTATACTCATCTGTACAACATGCCAAGTCAAATGCTCTTTCTCTATATGTATTTATATATAGACAAAAATAAACAATCCTAATCCTCATCCACATTTATATCCAGAAATTAAGCCTTTCCTTGAACTTCAGTGACCTATCGGTGGACCACAGTCCAGCAGTAGACAGTTTGTCAACTTTCTTTTCCTAGTTTGTTCAGGAAACAGACTTGTCTTAAATTAGATGTAGAGTACCTTTCAGACATTTCTGTTTTTGTGTTTATGCATGAACTTCTCCGCCTGACTTCAGAAAAGTGCTCCCGCGGAAAATCCAGCAGCAGCATTTGAGAATGAAGTGTAACGAGACAGGAGAAGTGAGCAGGTGATGTGATGAAACCCCCAGAGTCAATTAGGCAAATTACCTATATGCTCATTACATATACACATTGACTGAGGAGGGCCTTGCAGGTTTATTTCTGGTTTCAGACGCTTGGCTGAAAGGTGATTTTTCTCCTGTAGGCTTTGTTGTACATTTATAGAAACTATAAATAAAAGTATTGATGACATTCCTTTGCAGAAAATTGTTTTGATGTTGTAATACTGTGCTGATTGCTTGATAAGGCTGTGACTAATTGCATCATGACACCCTGGATTGACTAATATGACATGGCCATACATTTTTTGGTGCAGTCATGGAGATAAGCAAAATAAATTAACCTGAAATCATTTCTTCCAGATCTAAAAAGCTTCAATGCCCATCAAAACAGCTCAGTGAACTGAGGTGTAATAAATCCAGGGTCATTGCAGAAGACCCAAAATAATTATATGAGGTGAGGTATGATGACTAACAAGTAGAAATGAAGTCTGTCTAATCTGTTAAATACGCTTTTTTATGGAAATCTATCTATCTATCTATCTATCTATCTATCTATCTATCTATCTATCTATCTATCTATCTATCTATCTATCTATCTATCTATCTATCTATCTATACACACACATATATGCAGATGTTGTATTGTACAGACATAAATATTTCTATTGGTTGAATCCAAACATAAGTGCAAAAAACTGCAATTGAAAATTTTATTACTTTTGTTTTTTGTAATTATTTTCTTTTCGTTTGCAAAAGAAAAGAACAAAACATTAAAACTGTCTAAATATTGAGAATTAAATATATATAGTTGAAAAATTTAATTGATGAGGAAATATTTAAAAAACAAATGTTAAATGTTGGAAATGTTAAAAAATAACAAATGATAAATAAATATCATAAATATAAATATCAAAAATAGTCCTGTAACCCTATATACCATTTTGATGTAAGCCCAATGAATTCTGTCATCTGTCAATAAAAGGGGGAAAAAAATCTCTTAAATGTATTTTTAATTCCTAAATTCTTTCAGAACTTCTTTGCTGAGTCTCAAAAACAGCTCTTTACATTTTAAGCAGGGTTTTTGATGTGTTTCCTTTTGAATACATGATTACAGATGCTGACATTTGGGTCCTGCTCCACTTGGGTCTGTTATCATGGCAACAGCTGCCTCTGTCATATCCTGCTCAATCTTCTCTTTTTAAGCTTTTCGGAAGCAACATTACTGTATGCCTGCGCCTACAGATACACCTGAAAATTGGAATAATCTGATATGCAGATATAAATAGAAACATGCTTTTCTCTTTGTAAAGCTTTGATATTATATCCTCTTTTCCCCAAATGTTTAGACCAAAAGTAGTATTCAATTTACACCAGGGCTATATAGTTAAAAACAAAATTGGGCACTCTTTCAAATTTGTAAAACTGGATTTTTGCGTGTTACTTGTATACATGCAACAGATGAGGAAAGTAATCAGCCTGTTTCTGTGAGCTGATTGTCCTGTGTGTTACATGTGTTGTTTTGGGCCTATTTAGTTTAAATTCATCTAGAACATCAAAAGTTGCTGGATTCACATGACCTGCTATTCATACAATCAGTCGCTGTCACAAACGGAGCTCCATGCTATCCCCTTTAAATACATTATTTATTACTACCTGAATAACATGGATGTCCTGCTTTTTGAGAAGTTAAAGATATTTTCTGCTGCTGAAAGTCAAAAAGAGAGCCATCTTTAGTAGCATTAGACTGCAAATAGTTGGGGAATGAAAACATGCAGGTGCAAGTTAAAACTCAAGAGGGGATCATAGTTTTGCTTTTCTTTTACCTTTTTTATTAGCTTTACTCAAGGAAGTTTCAAGGCATTGCAATTCTCATCTAGCAAGGATGTTTACATTTAATTTTTTACAATTTAAACTAATACTATTAAGCACAATACCAATATGAAAGCAGAAAGATTTTAAATGCAAGCGCCCGTCACTTGCAATATGAGATGCTATCAAACAAAAAAAAAAAAACTGAGTTAGTTTGCCTTTTTTTCCTTTTTGCTATTTGAAGTTTACAAATGTCCCTATTTATCATATCATTTGTCATATCATATGCTTGTAGTTTCCATAAAACTTTGTAGGGATTAAGCAGATCCATTTATGAAAAAACAAAATGACCACAAAAAAAACAAAGAAAAAACATTTTTGGATTTAATAAAAATATATATGGGACTCACTCATTCTCATGTGATGCAATGAATCCAGCTGCCACTATAAATTGATCTCTAATTATATTTATAAATTAACTATAATTATTGGACTGTATGATTCACAATCCCTAAAGTGGCATCATAATTGCCAAGCTGCCCATTAATAGATAGCTGTCAGTGTAATTAGAGAAAATGGCTGGTTGCAGTCTGTGTGTTCTTTGAGTGTGCTGTTCCCTTTGTTCTATAGGATTTTATAGAATGGTAATTGGCCCTTTAAAAGTAATTTCTGTGCTTTTGTTCGTTATTAGATATTGACAGCTGTGGGCTTGTATCTGCTCTTTGTTCATCAGCAGTCACCGTATGTGACAACAAGTCTTGCTGGATCCTCTGAGAAAGACAATTATTTGATGTTTAGTGTCACATTTCGTGTGTTATTAGTACTTGT